CTCTCAAAGAGCAGGGCATAGGCTGTTTGGGATCAGGCTGGGGGAAATTGGTGGAGATCTGCCTGCCTCTTGACTTAGCAGTTGCCCTGATCTTGCAGCCAGTTGTAGGCTGGGTCCCCTGCTTGCGTGCTGGCATGAGGCAGAAAAGCACCCAACTGGTGCACGATTTGATTCTGAGATCCTGAACAACGTGGCTGCCTGTCTGCATGCTTTTGCCTCTTGAGCGCTCTAATAATGGGACCCATCAAAGCCTCAGAGGGACTGATGGGTGCCCCTGATGAAGCAGCCACTGAGTTTGAGCCACTTCTGAAGCGGGTATCTTTTTCCTGACCAGAGAGACTCTGCAGAAGGGCCTGGACTTCTGTCGCAAGAAGCAGCGAGCCGATGGGTCATGGGAAGGGTAAGCAGTGTTCCTGGTGCCCAGTTTTTGCCTGGCTGCCTGTGAGAGGGACCCTGATGGCAAACATTCCTGGCTGGCAGGATCTGTGGGAAGGGCAAGTAGGGGCTGATCCTCCTGTAGCTCCTGTGTTTTGCTCTCCTTTCCTCTCCCACCAGCCCAGGTGGAGCAGGCACCTTGTGCATTGCACAAGACCCAGACAACCCATGGGGGCTAGGGTGGCTCCAGCTCCTCTGGTCCGAGTGTCTGCTGACACCTGAGTGAGCTGGGAGCGGGTGCTGGTGGGACTGGGCATGGTTGTGCCATAGCGGCAGGCAGGCTGCAGCTCTATGCCTGGCTCTGCTCTTGCTGTGAACACGGCCGTGTCACAGCCTGCCTCTACTTGGAGCCTTGCACCCCTGACAGTACCGCTCTCCCCTTCCTCCTAGGAGCTGGGGGGTTTGTTTCACCTATGGCACCTGGTTTGGTCTGGAGGCGTTCGCCAGTATGCAGCACACATACCGCGATGGGTGAGAAGGGGCTGTCTGGTTCCCCTGCCCCTACCTACCTCTTGGGCCAGGGCAAGACTCCGTGGTGGGGCTGGGTGGATGCCCTGGCTGTGCATGGGCTCTCCTGCCTCAGGTACTGCTCCTCCCAAACCCTGTGCCTGTGATACGACCAGGGCACTTGCTGCCTGAGCCTCAAACTCTCGGGGCAGCCCTGGCTGTGGGCAGGGCAGAGCACAGCTCCTGTGTGCAGCTGGAAAACATGGGCATGCAAATGTTCCCTGTCCCCAGCCTTGTCTGATTCTCTGCCCCATCCTTGCAGGGCTGCATGCCAAGAGGTGGCCCAGGCCTGCCAGTTCCTCCTCTCCAAGCAGATGGCAGATGGTGGATGGGGAGAGGACTTTGAGTCATGCGAGCAGCGCATGTATGTGCAGAGTGCCATGTCGCAGATCCACAACACATGTTGGGCCCTGCTGGGACTCATGGCTGTCAGGTAGGAGCAGCCCTCACCTCTTCAGACACCACCTGGTCCTGAGTGCTCAGTGAGATGGGAAATGCAGGCTGGGTTGTGTGGCAGGCCTGGCACAGTCCCTGGGCCTGGTTGGTGTGGGCCATGCACCCAACCATGTTTGTTCGTGACCTCATTGGTCAGGAGCCTCCTGCAATGAGGGACTGGCCAGCGCAGAGCACCACAGGCCAGCGAGGCTCATAGTGCCAGGCGAGGGGGAGCCAGTGCAAAGCAACGGTCTGTCTGGATCACAACCGCAGGCCTCCAGTGTGGGAAAAGGTTGCCGTATTCATAATGTCTGGTGTCCTAGGGTTGTGAGGGGCCTTCCTAAAGCACTCAGCATGCCTGGTAGAAGCTTGGGGCAGCCTGGAGGTGGTTGAGTTCGCTAAGCACATGGATGGGGTTTTGCAGGCAGTTTGGATAAGAGTGCTCATATCTCCCTCATGCTTTCCAGGTACCCTGACATTGACGTGCTGGAAAGAGGCATCAAAGCATTGATTGATAAGCAGCTGCCCAACGGGGACTGGCCTCAGGTACATCTTTCCTCTAGTCTTTCCAAGGGGTTCCCTGGTTTTGCAGATGTCCTGGGCATTGTGCAGCCATTGCAATGGTGTGCTTTCCTTTACCTGGAAAGGAAGCAACGTGTGGCTTTTGGTGGGGGACTTCAGGAAGGCAATGAGCTCAGCATCGCATCCTGGACACACTGTGGTCCCCTGTCACCCATACCATCTTGCTCTCTGTCTCTCTCAGGAGAATATTGCTGGGGTATTCAACAAGTCGTGTGCCATCAGTTACACTGCGTACCGCAACGTCTTCCCCATCTGGACGCTAGGGCGTTTCTGCCGACTGCATCCCAACAGCCCTCTTGCTGGGCAACTGCAATCCGGATCCTCGGCTCGGGCGGGGAAGGTGGTGCAGGAGGCCTTGTCTGCCTGAACCTGAGCCATTGCAGATACCATGGCCTCTGACTTGTCTTAGATATTGGCTGCTGCCTGGGGCCATGGGAGTGTTTCCTGCATAGGATATCTCAGTGCTGATCTTAACACATGGATGGAGACCTCTGCCAGGGAGGAGTGCTGCCATGGTGCTGCAGTCTCTGCTTTCTGTTGAACCTCTTATAAAAATCCACTTTTAAAGGTTTTTCCCAAGTGTATCCTCCCTCATGGGATGGGGAGTAAAGTGCCTCTTCAGACCAGTTTGGTGATCTGAGAAGAGAAAGCTGCCAAGCTGTGTCGTATCACACATCTAGACAGACCCTCTCTCATCCTGGGTAGAGCAAGGCTGCCTTTATCTTCCCCTTGTCCTGTCCAGGTTGGCTGTCT